CAATAGTATCACGGTAAACGTGTACTCAAACTTTTAAAAATAGATCTGAGAACTACTATAGGCACCCACAAACCCACGAACCATCTCGTTAAGTATCAATTTGAAGTATTACATTATATGGGTGACTGGTCTGTAATATATATATATATATATATATATATATATATATATATATATATATATATATATATATATATATACAGAGAGAGAGAGGGAGAGGGAGAGAGAGAGAGAGAGCTTTACAGTGGACATTAAAAACCAAAGCAGCCAACTGTAGTTCCAATGCTAAATATCAACCGTGAAGTATTAAACACTGTTTAAAAAAAATAAAATCATATATAAATACTCTAGAAGAAACCAACACTGAAATACAACCCCTGTGACGTGAGTAAGGTACTGTTTCTATTGCTGGACAAGCCGGCACACCAGTACAACAGCATTCACAAAACTTTCTAATATCTTACCTGGCAAACCACCAAGACGAGTCACTCATAAACTAACAAAAAAACCTGGCATAATGGCTTGTTTGAATATTTTCGAAAAAAAAAGTTTGGATAATTACACATTTTACGACTGAGCGATGGACGAGTTCATTTTGAAAGGGATGTTTAAAGTCTCATTACAGAAGATTGACGCAGACCTTCATTCTATATACGTTGTGTGCTGTGTTCTGGGTTAACCTGCCACCCCCCCCCCCCCCCGCTCTCTAGAGTAAGGGTCACTCGTTAGGTCAAGAAGAGTTTTCTGGATGAGATTAACCAGGTGTGTATAGCCTGCTGAGTAACGAATTACTTTACCTGAGAGTACTCACACACGTTGCTAGAGATATGATTCTGAAGACTGTACATAGTGTGTAGGTTATCTACGGGGATGACTGAATAGACGCAGTTCTAAGTTAAAACAATGATCAAGTTTCCCATTCCTCACTTTATCTGGGGTGAGATTAGCGCACTCTGGCGATGCTAATCTTATTATTTCACTTATGTTCCACGTCTCAGTTAACTCTTAAGATTTTAGACTCACTTAATTCCTCCTAATATGCTCGTTAAACTTATCCTAAGATTGCAGACTCATTTAACTTAAGTTTGCCATCTTTAACTTTATTTTTATAACAATGATAGTCTTACTTTATACCGCAAATGCAAGATGTCTTCCATATTTCACATGGTCAGATTTTAAGTCCGGTAGTTTCGTGACTCACATTATCATCACCCCCCCCCTCCCCACCACACACACAGACTACTATCATACACACCTTCCCCAAATCTAGTCTAACCTTCCCCAAATCTAGTCTAACCTTCCCCAAATCAAGTCTAACCTTCCCCAAATCAAATCTTACCTTCCCCAAATCTAGTCTAACCTTCCCCAAATCAAGTCTAACCTTCCCCAAATCAAGTCTAACCTTCCCCAAATCAAGTCTAACCTTCCCCAAATCAAGTCAACCAAGCCTTTACTTATATCGCTCAATATTTCTCTCACAACTTCAAGACAGAGCGGCATTGAATTCATTGCCAACCAGAGATTTTTGCCAGAGTTTGTAGACTTAGGAAGGCAAAAAAGTCCCCAGTTCGAACTTTGCGTGCAGACGAGACTCGACAACTGGGGACAACTCACGAGGAGAGAAGATTGCTAAATCGGATAACTGTCTTGTATGTTGTGCTTGGATAGACAAAGGCTATGGAAGCAAATCCAAAAAGAAAAGCAAGCTGAAATCGGAGTCAACGGCCTCAATGGCGCATAACAAGTTGACACGTATACTTAATTATGTTGGAGGAAATCACGTCAACACTACCATTAAAAAAAAAGTCCATTAAAAAATTAGGCATCCAATTAAGTCAAATTTACTGTCAGATTGCATTGTCTTCATCCACGTGCCAACTTTGAAACAAATCTGTCAATTAGAAGTGCCCGAATTTTCGCTCTAGCGTTTCGATCTATGACGACAGACAGACTGTCGACAGAGGAAGCAAGTAAAATAAAAGCTTGTAAAAACCAAGAAGGAGAATAGTTTCTTTTATTTAACCCTTTCTCTCTTAGCGTTGCCGTGTATTTTGTTAGTCGGCTACCTACTTGCCGTCCTAGTTGTAACGATACATTCTCCAATAAATTCAAGGCATTCCACACACAGAAATCAGCTAATTCACAACTAATTAAAAACGCAGCAAATGCATTTACCAGCTTATACCACCAGGAAATCAATACAACCTTAAAGCGTAGAAAAATAATTCCAAAACACAAAAATAAAATAAACTGCACATTCAATCGATAAACAGATTTAAGACCGGGATACACATAGAAATATGAAATATAAAATAAGCGTGTATGGAAAGCAGTTATATAAAACAAGCGTGTATGTAAAGCAGTTATATAAAACAAGCGTCTATGTAAAACAACTATGTAAAACAAGCGTGTATGTAGATAATGGGTGTATGTAAAACATAGCTCATATGTTTGTTTTGTAAAATACTTTGCATATGGTGAAAGTGTGTATGAGGTGGGGGGGGGGGGGGGGGGGGGGGTGAAGACATTTATAGTCAAAATATGGGAGTTCTATGGATCGACGTGGTCGAATAGTAGAACGAACGACCGCTAACCCTAGAGTTCGGATCTCATGAATCCTAAGTCTACCCTCAGCTGATGTTATAGAAACAGCTGAACTCTACTTCATTGGCTTCATGGATAACCAGTTCGTAAAGCGTAAATTACTACTTACTAGAAGGGAAAGGGGGGGGGGGGGAGGGGGCGCTAACAGGGTGACCGCAGTAAAAGAAGATCAGGTCAGCCCCACTTTCTGGCAATACTAATTTACTACCAGATATTGAACAAGATAATTTAAGATGTGTAAATAAGGTAACAAAAGACACCAGATTAATTTACTTTTGATTAGCTTGTCCCTGTCAGCAATACCAAGGGCCTAACAATGGCGAGCTAACCTTGTCAACAAAAGTTTTAACATTTGTCGTAAGCACATTTTTTAGATGCGTAAAATGACGTCATTTTTTGGCTCCTAAAGGCTACAGAGTGGTCGGGATGGAAAGCGTATGATAGCTACCTCCAAATGTCTTGAGTTCGGACTCTCGGATCGATGAGCTAGTTAGCTAGAAACAGCAACCATTATACCACAGAAAACGTATAAAGTGGCATACCATGGCCAATGGATATGGAAGCAAATGCAGAAAGAAAACAAGACTGAAGTCGGAGTTAACGGACCAAATACCGCATGATAACATGACACGTAATAGTTAACTGTGTTGTAGGAAAGCAACTTTAATAGAATACAATTAGGAACGAAGAAGAAGAAGCGGCTCTTAAATTTGATGGCGTGACGTAAATATGTAGGTGCATACAACTAAAGATGTATTGGATTCATTATCTGACAACAGGTTATATGAGGTCATTACTTTTTTTTTAAAAAAACTACAATTCTGATATCAGTTGGGGGGGGGGGGGGGCTCTTTCAGTTTAACAATTTCAATAAAATTCTATTCTAAGTATTCTAAGACAACACGACAAAAAAATTGTCATCCCAACTGCACATACATAACTGAGCAATTATCACGCTAATGATGACCTTTTATCCAGCTGGATATAAGTAGTGGATGTAAGAACAGGGTAGTTGACATCCCCTCCGTACACTTAGACGGGAGTCACGTGAACAACTCCAGAGAAAACATGACCGTTAGAGAGAAAACCCAACAGAGGGGGAGGATAAGAACGTCGATGATTGCTGGATAACGGCGATAATAGAAAGGTGATGAAACGAGAGAAATATTTAACGTGGGCAGTAGAGCGTGAAATTGGCTGGATCGATTGGGTAGGTTGGGAGATAACTGAGGGATGGTGGTGGTGGAGGGGGGGGGGGATTAGGTTGTGTGTTTGACGGGTGGGGGCGGAGGGTATTGGTGAGGTTTGTGTGTTTGTTGGGGGTGGAGATGTTTTTCTAGTTTGTGTTTGTTTGGGGTTGGGGGGTGGTCAGTTCGTCAAAGATAAGTAGACTTCAGAATATGGTGGGAATTAATGCGAACAATCGTCGTGAAAATAGACGACAACACGGACAGACCACACCTGACAGACCACAAGGACAGACCACCACACGGTTAGACAACCACATGAACAGACCACACGGACATACCACAGGATCTAGACAAACCACATCGACAACCAACACGGACAGACCACACCTGACACAAGTAGACATCAGACGGAAGATACCGCGTTTACGTCATGTTACGTTATCTTTGACCTTCACCCTTCCGTAACTTTGACCTTCTCACCCCCCACCCCCCCAAACACCAACTAGACTCCACACATTTGAAGGTGAAACTATAACCACCTCAGTAGTTCTCAAGCTGTCCTTCAACTCCCAGAATCCCCTCACAGCCAAATATGGGCAGACAACTAAAACCCACTTTAAACCAGAACTCAAGTCCCAGCGATAAAACATCACTCAGCTTCTATAGGTGTCTAGCAGGAAATGGACTATTGCCTGAGCTGACTACACATCTGTTCTTATTTACCATCAACACTGGGAGAAACTCTACTTTCATCTACAATAAATGATTTATTATAATCCAGAAAAATTCTTTTTTTTACCTGTGTAGTGAGGGTGTCATTTTGCATAATGCGATTTACATAGATTCGATACATAGATTCGATACCTGGATTCGATACCTAGATTCGATACCTAGATTCGATACCTATATTCGATACCTGGATTCGATACCTAGATTCGATACCTTGATTCGATACATAGATTATATAGATTCGATACATAGATTCGATATATAAATTGAATACATAGATTCGATACATAAATTTGATACATAGATTCAAATAATCGACAACACTCCCAATCAACCCTCTACACGTTGACCACAGGATAAGTTGCTTCATCCTGTAACACAACAACCACACAACACTTTAACGTTGTTCAAAAGTGCAATTAAATTCCAGCCAACACATTAAATATTAACGCGCTAAAAATAAAAACTTGGACTGACCTTGTAATAGCTATGTCCGCCTTCTGAAGGGCGATTTGCCCCGCCCTCTGCGCAGACAGCACCGCGTTGTCGACCCGTTCGCGCAGCTTAGAGGTCCGTATTAGGAACAATTTATTTTTCTTCCCAGAAGATATCAACACGTTGTTCTTGTACTTGCCCTCCTCGCGGGCGCCATCTTTGAAGGTGGTGACGCCGTATCCGTACTTCCGGTTGTTGTACCACTCCCCCCTCGTACTTGAGCCCGTCGGAGCGCTCGCTGATCCCGAACCCGGAGCGCTTGTCGTTCTTCCACTCGCCCATGTACGTCTCGGTCACGTTGACGTCCGTGATGTCGTCTTGACTCACGAAGCTGAGGTTGCTGTCCGTGTAGACGGATGCCGTCGTCACCCCTGATTGGCTCGAGTCGGCGCTCACGTGACTGATGTTGGAAATGGTCGACCGGACCGAGCCGGTCTGACGTTTCGGCGAGTCGTTGATGTCGCCCGTGCTCTTCTGTTTTTTCAGTTTCAGTCCGGACATCAGCGTTTTCCGGAGCGAGGTCCGGCCTTGCTTGTCGAAGATGGACCGCCGTCGTGTCGGGGGCGTCTCGTCGGATTTGGCCTTGAGGACGAACCCGCCGCGGCTCTCGTCCAGTTTCTTGTCGCGTGACTTGACCACGAGCTCGTCCTCGTTCTCGGAGCGCAGGGAGGTCAAGGACGCTCGCATGGCCTTGGGCCGGTAGTGGGAGGCCAGGCCGTACGGCACGCTTTGACGGACGCCATATCCGTGACGTGTGCCGCGGTACCATTGACCTTGGTAGGTCCTGGGAGAAAGAGACAAGGGCGGTAATTTAATCAACATGGCCGAATTATTGGATTATCTCGACATAAATGATGGTGAAAATAATGATTGATAGTCACGTTAGATTGACAAATGATGAAACATGAAAGGGGAAGGCAATCATTAGACAAGCATGGTGATGATAAAAATAAAAATAAAAGATCGTAGAGGATAAAATAAATAATGGTGATAAAGCAACGTTAACAAAATAAGTGAGCTGTGTATGTGTATGTCACTGTATGTGTACAGTAAAAGTGAATGGTGGCTACAACATCATTATACGCGAGACTGCTTTGGTGCACATTGATATATAGATACGCACAGCAGTGCAGTGAACAGCTGCACATATACACACAGCAGTGGTTCGCACAGCTGCGTAGGTACGCATAACTTCACACAAGTATAGGGTACGCATGTAACACAGACTGTCACACACATAACCTCAAGTTCAAGGAGAGAGGCGCTTATTTTACACAGATAATTGAATTACACATCGCCCCACCCCCCCTGCCCCACCCCACCCGGCAGACAATTATCTTACAACAATCTAATCGTCTGCTATGTTGAACACGAGTTATGAAAATATCGCTGAGTCAGCACGCATCGATTAGCCGGACCCACACAGTTGTATAACATGTGTGCTGGTAACGCTATTTCAATCTCAAGTCTACCCCCTCCGTGTCCTAAACTCTAGACCTCTTTTCCTCGCACTAAGGATCGTATAGCCTCGTTTATAACGATTCCCGTAATATCAATACAAATAAAAATAGTTATATATATATATATATATATATATATATATATATATATATATATATTTATATATATATATATATATATATATATATATATATATATATATATATATATATGTGCGTGTGTGTGTGCGCGTATGCGGTCGGTGATCCATTTGAGAAATTGCACGAACATCAAAGTTTAATTAAAAACACCTATGTTTGTCTTAATGTTAAACTGTTGACAGACCCAGTTGTCTGACCCAGACTGACGGATGCACGCGCCGTTTACACAATTAATCCACCCTCCCCACCCCACCCCCACCCCACCCCCACTCAGCATGTACCCCCACTCCTTGTTTATTTATCAATACCACTCAGGATAATTTCCACACTCACAGTAAGCTACAACAAACTGCTGTAACAATATCGATCCAAGTGCTAAAAAACAGAATCGATACGGCACTAAGCTGTATCGAGTTTTTTAAAATTCCGTAATCGATTCCATACCAAGGCTCCGCTAGTATCGATTATTAGCTGTGTTGTCAATTTAAAAACAAAACAAAAAAAATTAAATTGGAATCGGTTCTACAAGATAACGAAACCTAACGGCCTGCTGAAATATGTATAAAAAATATTTTTTTTACTCATTGTAAGGGCAACGAGATTAAGTGGGTTATCTCCCGTGAATTGCCTCCCCTGACCAAATGCTAGCAGACGCGGATTGTCTCCATGTTGATGAGATTTAGCCCTCGCCTGGTGGCTGGTGGTGAGGTTAAAGGTTAATTAAAGATGGCGTACCTCTGATTATCATTTGAACACTAGAGTTAGAGGAATAGGTCAGTACTGGTCGATGTATCTAGGCATGGGATGGGAAGGTTGATCTTTCGCGTTACTGTGAGTCCATAAACAATTAGTAAGATATCTGGGGCAAGTGGGGATAACTAGATCAGAAGGCCAAATCAGGGGAGTTAATACAGGCAGATTTCCACGTTAAGGGAGATAATAAGCTAGTGCAGGTTAAATTAGTTAGGGTTACTGGGGGCTGGGTGGGTATGGGGTATAATATAGGGAAAAGGGTAAACTAATTAAGGTTATAGGGAGTGTGGGTTAACCTCTGCGATAATACGAACAACATTAGACTTTTAAAATTTTAAGGGGAGAGTATTTCAACAAGAACCCGACTAAACCATTGTTGATCCTGTACAAGAATTGGTTAAGTTTGTCGGTGGGTAACTTGAAAGGGGAACAGATAAAGAAATACCGGACACAGAACAGGCAAGAAAGAGTTACTGGAAAAAGGAAACAACTACGCCAATTTTTCAGAGTTAACCATTTATTTATTTTTAAATTATTATGACAAGTCCTCTAACCGGTAGTGTGAACTATTTTTAAGTTTCTGTCCGACATTTTTTATATATCACAGTCAGTGTCCCCTCCCACCCTCCACCCCCCCCCCCCACACACACCCTAGTGTAATGTCGGACTTCGTTATACGCCGACCCTACTAGAACCCCCCGCAGAAGTGAACACGTCTGAAAGTATGGCGCCATATCGAAACGGTCACAGAGATGAAAGATGACAACATTTTGTTGGATATGATAACTACAGTTTAGGTAACCACAACCTTCAAATTATTTAACGCGCCTTGAGGTTAGGGGGGGGGGGGGGAGAGCTGATTTACGCAATATGTGTGTGTGCGTGTGTGTGTGTGTGTGTGTCTGTTGAGGAGGGATTTTTGAAAAAAATGAACTATCATAACCAATAAAAAAAAGCATTTTCAATTCTAAAGGAATGTATTTTGTGTGAATTATAAATTAATATTTACTTAATAAGCAAACTTTGCTGACTTTATTGAGCGAATTCTGGAAAATATTGGACGGATGTTAAAACTCTGAAGAATCTGGACGTGTAAGAAACAAACTCGTCAGAGTTTCTTCCAGGCATCTCTCCCCCCCCCCCCCCCCCGCCCCCCGAATGAATGGAATTTATATAGAATATATAAAAAATTTACACTATCGTCGCCCCCCCCCCCGTCCCCCCCCCCCCCCCTCCCCAGAGAAAAAAGTCTGGAAAAAAACGCTGAATGTCGTGATAAAGCTGAGCTGCACGTGAAATGTAAGTAATTGTGATAATTGCTAAGGAATCAAATTAACCCGGGAATCACACATTTTACTTTAATTTAATATTTAAAAAACCTCGAAAATGTAAAAACTTCAATAATTTATTTTTTTGAGTTCTGGAAAATGATTCTCTCTTCATGTGTTAGATGTCAGATTAGGTCTGCCCCAGCTGCAGTTGGGGGGGGGGGGGGGGGGGGGTGACTGAGTTGTTACACCAACTCATCTTCACACCAACATACCGAACATTCTACATAAAGGGGAAATCAAATTTCGGAATTAAAATAAAATAAATAAAAAAAAACTTAATATAACGAAAAACGAATCATTCATGTTTTTAATATACGACTATTAGCTTTACTTATTTAAATTTGTGATTTATATATATATATATATATATATATATATATATATATATATATATATACATATATATATATATATACATATATATATATATATTTATAGAATTTACTTTTTTCAGAATTCAAGTAAAAACAGATATATGGATTTGAATATTTTTAATTTTTTAAAGGAGAGCAACATATTATTACAAAAAAAAAAAAAAAAAAAATTCATAACCTTTCTGTTTTTGATTTTTTTTTAAAACGAATTTTTAAAAAATCCAATACATTTCTGTTTTTTTTTTAAAATTAAATTGTATGATCTTGCTTTTAAGCTGTCTAAGTCAATTTTTAAGACATAAATAACTTAAGACATAAGAACTAGCAGACGACAAAGATTCATTTCTTCGGAAATATATTTCGTTCCACTTTATTAAAATTTCCACTTCATATTTTTAAAACTTGCGTCTTGAATCCATTGAAAACGACACAAACCGCAGGCCATTTTGTAATTCCCCAGAGGTATCGAGGCCACTGTACTCGGGCATTTTGCGGGTGTATCGATCCTAGCCAGTACTTGTGCAGAACGAATATTCATTAATTTCTAAACCGCCTAGGGAATGGGTTGTGATGCTAAGAGGAAGAATCGACTTCTTTATTCGTGAAATTAGCCAAGAAAATGTCTCAGTATAGGGCAGATCAAAGAAAATGTCGTTGTAGAGGGTAGCTCTAGTATTGTCCCCGGCTAGTGTAGGCAAAAGAAAACCCACCATATGTAGATCTAAGAAACCCACTGTCTGTAGATCTAAGAAACCCACCATATGTAGATCTAAGAAACCCACTGTCTGTAGATCTAAGAAACCCACCATATGTAGATCTAAGAAACCCACTGTCTGTAGATCTAAAAAACCCACCATATGTAGATCTAAGAAACCCACCATCTGTAGATCTAAAAAACCCACCATATGTAGATCTAAGAACCCGCTTTGTATAGATCTAAGAAACCCACCATCTGTAGATCTAAGAAACCCACTTTCTGTAGATATAAGAAACTCACTTTCTATAGATCTAAGAACCCACTTTTCTATAGATCTAAGAACCCACTTTTCTATAGATCTAAGAACCCACTTTTCTATAGATCTAAGAACCCACTTTTCTATAGATCTAAGAACCCACTTTTCTATAGATCTAAGAACCCACTTTTCTATAGATCTAAGAAACCCATTTTCTGTATGTCTAAGACACCCACCGTCTGTAGATCTAAGAACCCACTTTTCTATAGATCTAAGAACCCACTTTTCTATAGATCTAAGAACCCACTTTTCTATAGATCTAAGAAACCCATTTTCTGTATGTCTAAGACACCCACCGTCTGTAGATCTAAGAACACACTTTCTGTATATTTAAGAAACCCACTCATTTAAAAACAATCCACAATCGTGCATCGAATTCAATCCATCTAAGATCTAAGAAAACCTACGAATATCGATGATTGTAAGCGAAAATCCGTATTGCTGAGAAATTCCACCGATGTATCCTTAAGAAAAACCCACTAAACAAGAAAACCCACCAACGGCTATCATAAGAATACCACAGTATAATGAATACCTACTTTATAATGAATGCCATAGTTGGTAGAATACCACTGGACATATCTAGAACATCAGCCATCACACATTTAAGGAGCTGTTTAGTTACAGCTATAGTTACTTAGCTCCACTGGCTAAAAACTACAGCTGCGAGTTACTGTCAATAGTCATAAGCTACAATATGGACAGCTAAAATGTCTGGCTGAAATCATGTACAGTGATGTTGATAGTTTGCTCTCAAACTCACCATATAAAACACATTAAAAATTAATTTTTATGTTGCTAGTTGGCACTTATATCAATATTTTACATCCGGTATTTGTGTTCATAAAAAAAATGCTCCCGTATTCGCCAATCAATGTAAAAAATCAGGTGTTTTATGTCTGAATGGTCTGCACTCATAGTTGCCTAATTAAATATTCACAGCATCATGTACCGGCCATACAACCTAACTGTAACCAACACGGCTAATGAAAGCGTGGGAGGGGATCCCCGTAGTTAGAGTAATCTCCCCTAAAACCCCCCATTGTTTCCATCATATCCCATAACGATCGTTGACAAGGGCGGAGCTAAGAATGGGCTTAAATATGGAGCTAAAAATGGGGTTATCGAATCTTACACCGAGCTTTTAAAATTTTACATTTTTTTCCGTAATATCTCAGTTTAATGGGTGTTGCATTCGTGTAATAGAGAGGCGTCCTTGACCGTGGGGCGAGTTCTAAAAATAGATGTTCTAGTTGAGCACCGGATGAAGGGCTACTCCATCTTGTGCGGTAAAGTGCACGTGGTTGTGTGTCCCTGGACATCTGGTCACGTGATAAAGTGCACGTGGTTGTGTGTCCCTGGACATCTGGTCACGTGATAAAGTGCACGTGGTTGTGTGTCCCTAGACATCTGGTCACGTGATAAAGTGCACGTGGTTGTGTGTCCCTGGACATCTGGTCACGTGATAAAGTGCACGTGGTTGTGTGTCCCTGGACATCTGGTCACGTGTCTGAAAGATTGAGTTGCACTTTCCGGCTGGGTGTTGTTGTGAACCTGCGTCCCCCACCTCGTGCCCCCCCCCCCACCCACCCCATCACAGTCAACCCAAACCCACACTTCAAAGCAGCTAACATTCCTACACTCATCCCCCCACCCCATCAATAAAAACAGTCGTACATTTTTCATCCACCATGCAAAGCACTCTACCCCCCCCCCCTGTTTTGTATGCTAGCGCCCCCCACCCCATCGCTCTAACCGCTGAATCAAAAAACAGCCCCTCTCTCTAATCCACAACTCAATCAACGCAACTAATTTATATATCATGTTCTAGCCCCACCCCACCCCACAACACCCCCTGTCTCCACCCCCCCCACACACACACACAGATCAAGTGTTGAGATGGTCGATGTGGTATTTGGGTTCAAATTTTGACAAAACAGCTACACATACTGAGTTTTTAAGTTAATTTATCTATAATTTAATCCCACAAACACGCAACGGTCACTCTAGTTCACCTGGAATTGAGACAACTATCAAGACTCAGTGGTTAAAAACATACCACTTTGTTACCTCGAACTCTAGGCTGCTAACCAGAAAGTCTTGAGTTCGAATCCGGGTCCAAGAACGTCCCTGAGTCCACCCTGAGTACCCTGAGTACCTAACTCACGTTAGAGAAAGTAAAAACTGGACAAAGTTCAGACCACACCTTCCCTCTATAGGCCGAGGTCAAGAAGCATGAACTCTACTTCATCTGCCCAATGGATCGCTAGGTCTTTAATTTTTACTTTACTTATTAGGTTAGCCATACAAAATCGCTAATCCCATCACTAACTGTAGCCAAAACCATGAAAAAATAAAAATATTTTTTTAACCCGTTCTGGAATTTAATGAAACTAGAATACCAAGTTCTATTAGCTGTCCGCTTTCATTCTATCAAGCACAGCATTTTTTAAATGTATTGAATCCGTTGAAAAAGAATTAGCGTGAAAATAAATGATAATAATGGTGAGAAAAAAGTGGATAAATGAAAGTATTTCATGCAAAATACATTGGTGAACACGTGACAATGAATACATGACACTAGCAAAAATTTACCTGGCCACTCTCATGACATGAGAGACAAATTGGAAAAAAAATTAGCAGAAAATTTAACCAGACAATAGTTAATAAAGTTGGATTTTGTCGAAATTAAAAATTGTGTAGATTGAAATTTGCGGTGACAGTACACATACAGAAATAAGCAGCTGACAAGATCCACGCGGGAATCACGTGATATAGAAAGACAACGACAGACATGAGTGACGTCACGGTAAAGCTCACAACAGCGGTGGTCACATTTAGTGCGAAGTAGTGCGGACAAAGTGACGTCAAACAACAAATTTCAACAAGAATTAAAAAACAAAAAACAAAGTCGAACAGACTATTTTTAAAGTTTGTTTGTTTTATGTCGCAATGGTGAAGTGGTCCGCGATATTGCGACATTTACATTTTTTAAAAAATAAAAGCTAAAATATAAATAGGTTAATTTGTCAAGTAATTGGCATATTTTACCGCTAATGTTTGTTTTCTTAAAAATTAGCGAAAATAAAAATTGTGAGTTATTTTTTAAAAATATTTTAAAATGTGAAAACATATACAGTAAATTATAATCTATAAAAGTAATTTAATATTTGTAACATATTAGATTAACATATATTCCAGATAATTTATATTTTTGTCTTTATTCAATGAACTCTTAATTGAAGTTTTAAAGGTGACTGTGATTTTATACATTATATATATATATATATATATATATATATATATATATATATATATATATATATATATATATATATATAATATGTATATATACAAGTTAAGGGAATGTTAAAAAAATTCTCGTTTATTTTATTGGTCAGATTGTATATCTTATTTTAACTTGCTGTTTCCAACAAAGAGAAATGGCTTCCTTTTCAAGCAGTTTAGAGAAAAAAGAACTGCTAGGACTGTGAGGCAACAACATAGCAGAAAAGACATCAAGACTTACCTAGGGCACCTTGGTCTGCGGGCCGCGAGAGAAAAAACAAGGGGACATAAATAGAGACGATCATTATAAGCAGAGTATGATGGGAGGTAACTCTATATATAGTTCTTTGTAAGCTGTGTATTGCAGCAAGGTAGATAACTACTTCTAAGTAAATCAAAATTATAATGACTAATCTAGATACAAAATATACACTAAGGGAAATCCGTAGGGTTGGGGGTGGGGGGTGTTTAAAGCTCGATACACGAAAAAGAGTTAAAGAGCTAAATATCAAATTAATAAGAGCTTAATTTAAAAAAAAAAATTCAATCGTCAGAAGAAGATGACATTTCGTGAAAGAAATTTCGCAAGAGCTGAAGAATAGCCACAAGACAGAGGTGAGTACAGGTATCGGGTGGGCGGCAGGTACTAGCGGTGGCTACACACTAAAGGGATCACATAGCGATACACACAGTACTTGCACAACACGGTATCTAGACTAAACAGGAGAATCGATTACACCCGGCTTTAAACATGCTGAAATAGACTGTTTTCCGACACTTTGTTTTCTAAACACAACGGGGAAAAAAATCGATTTATATATATATATATATATATATATATATATATATATATATATATATATATATATATATATATATATATATATATATATATATATATATATATATATGAGTAAAAAGGGTTATTTTTAGTCAAAGTAGAGATAAGGTAAACAATTACTGTCTGAAAATCTAATATGAGAAACTCAAAACCCCAAATGACATTTTGATGCTCCCTATATAGATGTAGACACAATAGCGAACAATACGGTCTATTTCTGTCTTCGATTAGTCTAGCTTCAGTTTGTTGTTGTACTATTATTAGCTGTCACGTGGTCTGCGTTATTGAAGTAGTTTGTTTGTTGTTTAATGATGTATCGACTTTTAATGAAGAGGTAAATATTAGT